TCGAATTTATCGCTATAATACATGTTCGAACTAGTGCACATGCTAGGTGAGTTCACATCACAACAAGTTTTTGGCACCGTTGTCGGGGACTAATACTAGCAATATTAGAATTGGCTTATTATTATTAATTTAGTATTTTTACTTTGTTTGTTTTGTTTTGCTACCTATTTGTAGGAGGTTCTATAGTGCATGACCAGAAGCAGCGAAGAAATATTGATTTTTGATTTAAAAGTTGAGAGGACTTGCCGTATACTGAGAGCACAAGCAAGAAGTAGACGACTCCCATCTTGTGTTAGAAATTCATCGAGAAGAGGAACAACAACAATGGATGACAAACCGGAAGAGCGAAGAGAGCGCACAATGATGGATTATACTATTCCATCTCTTACTAGAATTGAAACAAGTTTCACAAGGCTGGCTGTAGCAGCTAATAGCTTTGAGATTAAGCCAGCCATCATCCAGATGATTCAACAAAGTGTACAATTTTTTTGGTTCCCAACTAAAGATCATAATGAGCGCATTGCTAATTTTCTATAGATTTGCGACACTTTCAAGCACAATGGAGTGAGCAATGATGCAATCAGATTGAGACTTTTCCCTTTCTCATTGAATGATAGATCTAAGGCTTGGTTGAATTCGTTACCAAGTGGTTCCATCACTACTTAGGAGGACATATCTCAACACTTTTTAACCAAGTACTTTCCCCCTTCAAAAACAGCTAAGTTAAGAAATGACATCACCACATTCGCATAAATAGATAGAGAATCATTATATGAGTCTTAGAATCGCTATAGGGATTTGTTAAGGAGAATTCCTCACCATGGTCTACCTATGTGGCTTCAAGTGCAGACATTTTATAATGGTCTCATCACTAACATCAAGACCATGATTGATGTAGCCGTTGGAGGAACATTGAATAATAAAACACTTGAGGTGGCCTACAAGTTAATTAAGGAGATGGCAAATAATAGTTACCAATGGGAGAAATAGAGATCCTCATTAAAAAAAAATGTCGGTTTACATAGTATTGACAACTATACAGCTTTATCTACGTAAATTGAGGCTTTAACTAAGAAGATAGATAACATAAATATGGCGACAACGTAAGCAGTGCGAGTTCAAAATTTTGAAGTTCAACAAGGGGAAAGAACAAGTAGAATATGTTGATAATGCTCCAAGACAACAAAGGAATCCTTATTCCAATACTTATAATCTTGGATGGAGGAATCACCCTAATTTTTCATGGGGCAACCAAAATAATCATATACAAGCTGCCCCACTAGTTCCATCCCCCATTGAACAAAGGCCAAACATCAAAGATATGCTTGCCAAATTCATGACAACAACAGACATTAGGCTGCAAAGTAATGAAGTCTCCATCAAGAATCTAAAGAACCAAATTGGGCAGTTGGCAAAGTTGACTTCGAAACATGCCCAAGGAACTTTTCTAAATAACATAGAGAGCAACCTAAGAGAACATGTGAATGTTATAACATTGAGGAGTGGAAAGCAATTAGTGGAAGTGGAAGCAACAAAGAGAACACAAGTAGATGAGAGCAACCCAAACAAGGAAAAAGATGAAAAAAAGGAAGGAGATGAAGAGAAAGAGCTGCTCAATTGAGGAGGAAAACACTCCAACATTCCATATCTGGGGAGATTGAAGCAACAACAAAAGGATAAGCAATTCAGTAAATTTTTGGATATTTTTAAATAATTTCATATTAACATTCCTTTGGTTGAAGCTTTAAAACAGATGTTTAGCTATGCAAAGTTCCTAAAGGAGATTCTCTCAAACAAGAGGAAGTTGGAAGACGTGGCCATGGTGACACGTAACAAAGAATGCTCAACTATTCTACAAAACAAGATGACACAAAAGTTGAACGATCCTGCATTTATCGATATATTTTTACATTTTTTGTAAACTTCAACAAGGCTACATGGATGCTACTCCATTAAAATTCTTTTGTCGTCACTATTTTTCATTTTTCTTCTTTGTGAACTATGGGGACATAGTCACATTTAAGTGTGGGGGATTTGTTGTTATCCTCTAAATTTTAATAAAGTTCCATGGTTTGATCTTGATGTGTCCTGTTGTGTCATGACTACCTATGATGATAACTGTAACATTAAATCTATATGTATGGGGATAAGATTGTTTGTGGAAACATTTTAGTAATGGAAGTATTTGACCTTAATTAGTTTATTCAAGTTTTAAGAGTTTAGGATCTTCTACATCCTTTGAGTCGTGAAATTTATTCTTTTATCTAAACTGAATAATTCTTTACAAAAGAAAGCATATTTTGGTATATAATTAGATATATATATATATGCATGCAAAAAAAATAGTAATAATAATAAAATACTTCGCTGATCACTTAATTTTACACCACCAACAGGCATAGCTTAGCGGTTCGACACTATGCTAGCTTAACCAGAGGTCTCCAATTTGAGCCCTGGGAACGCAGCTGCCTTTGGTAAGGAGAGCTTACTCCTTAATGGACCGATTTAGCTCGAAGAATAAAATGGTTGTTATGAGTAAAGCTAGAAAAAAAAGAAAAAAAAAACTACTTCACTTATCACTCAATTTTACACCACTAAGTGCGTAGCTTAGCAATTTTGCGCTATGCTAGCTTAACCAGAGGTCTCAATTTTGAGCCCTAAAAATGCAACTGCCTTTTGTAGGGAGCACTTACTCCTTAGTGGACTGATGTAGCTTGAAAAATAAAATGTTGATTATGAGTAGAGCTAATGGCCATTCAGAAGTGTGACCAACTAAGTAACCGGGGGCTGGTATCACTAATGTTTGCACTCATGTAAAAAGGTTGACAGACATTCCGAACAACTAATAAGGTGCTTTAAAAAAAGTAAAAATAAAGTTGCATGT